CCTGTCTCAAGTGCCCAGAAGGCAGATCTATAGAGAGAAAGTAAATGAGTGTTTGCCTGGGGCAGAAGGGTGCTGGTAACATGGGGGGTGTATCCCAAGGTACAGGGTCTCTGTTGGGGGTGATGAAACTGTTCTAAAATTCGATTTGAGATGGATATACTAAATATACTATGATATCTTACGTATAAAAATATATAAGAAATGTAAAATATATAAAATAAAATAAGTATATGAAAATAGCATATGCTGAATATGCTAAAAACCACTGAATTATAAACTTTAACTGGTGAATTGTATGGCATATGAATTCTCTCTCTCTCCCAACATGCTTACATATATTTAAAGAATCAGCGCACGATTCTGAATGAATCTCAGGACCACTTTACCACTGATATCAGTTTGTGAGTGTTCAAATATCACTGAGAAGCTCACGTTGGCCAAGCACCGAAACAAATTCCAGATGCGCTAAAGACTTGACAGATACCATGGAACTATGACAATTTGGAAGACAATCCGGGTCCTCGTTGGGCTCCTGGACAGGAAGCGGAGACGCTGCAGAGCCACAGGTTTGACCACGCCATTTTAGCAAAGGAAATTCAGGGACAGACAACAGAACAGAGAAACCATGGGACCCAAGTTGGGTCAGACGTTACATCCCTGATGTATTCAGAGCTCTCACCTATCACCCCCAGGACGCTAAGCCCCACGAGAAACAGCGCCGTGTACATTCACAGGCATTTGATGGCACAGTAGGGATGAAAGGCTTGCACACCAAATGCTAGTGAGATGTATTCTCACCTAACAAATCAGGCAAGATCGAAACGTGGAAGCAGAGAGGCCACGAGACCGGCATCTTGGTCCCCAGGGCACGACGTGTCAATGACTTTCAGTTTCTCCAAGCACCAAACGCTCACATCCTCTGAGCCAGGGGGTCTGCTTCTAGCATTTTCTCCCAAGGAGAGAATGAGACAGGTTGTAAGGGATTTGCAACACTGTTCACAGAGGGTTTATTTATGAGGGCAAGGCCATACACACAGTGTCCCTGACAGTATCTCCCGCCCAGGTGAAACAGGAGGAGTAACCCCAAGGGTGGTTTCCGAAGGTTCCCCACCACCTGAACTCAGCCCCGCATTGGTACCACCTCCCTCATGCGGGGGAGGCAGCCCCTGGC